GCGCGCGCCGCGCCCCCCTCCCTCCTGGGCGTGTGCTGCAGACACACAGAGACCCTGGTGTCCAACGAGGAGCCACCCCCACCCAGCGCCCAGGAGAAGTGCCCCAGTGGCATGGAGAGCCGCGAGCCTGCTGGGGGCTCTCTCCAGAAGCAGAGGCAAGCCAGCTGGCGTAATGGTGGCAGCATGTCGTTCGACACGGCAGTGGCTCTCGCCAAGGAGAGGCACTTGGCCCAGGCCCCCGTCCGAAGGATCCAGACCTATTGCGTGGGAGATGGTCCGGAGATGCATGGCAGTGCCAAGCTGGAGAAGCCCCCGTCACTCCCTAGGTCTGCCCTAAAACCTGTGGGACAGCGCCCTCTGCGGCCACTGAGCTGCACCGGGGCACTACTGTCTCCAGACGCCCTGGCTCTGGGCAAGCCCCCAACCCTGCCTGACACGGCCTGCGACCCGCTCCTGTCGCCTGGTCGGGAGCCGCTTTCCTTCACCCTGGAGCCCACCGCACGGAGCAGGCTGAGCTTGCCCAGGCTTAGCCAGCGGCCGTCCGACACGGAAGAGGCAGCGGGGGCTCTCCTGCAGCAGCGGCGGTCGCTGGCTTTTGAAATGAGGGACGGAGGCGGGACGGCATTGTGAGCGAGCGGTGGGGACAGTTCCATGCTCCTGGGTTGCCGGGGGCTGCCAGATCTCAACCAGTGACCCAGCAGGCTGCTGTCTTAATGCATCGCCTGGTTCCCGCTGCTCCGAGTCCAGCCCTGCTGTGGGTGGCTGGCACCGGATGACCGGGACCGGGTGGGTTGGGTTGTGCAGCAAAAGAAACGCCGTGTGCCTCAAGGAAGAGGATCTACCTTCTGGGAGCAGGGTCTCTGAACCACAATGGGCCACGTGGGCCCCAGCCTCCGCCAGAGCGAACGCCGCTCAGATGTGATCGCTGAGTCAGCTCTTCCCTCAGCGTCTCATTTTCAGCAGAGAAGAGAACTCTGGCTCCTCCAGCCAGTTACCTCCACTTCCACCAGGGCTGAACCACAACAATCGTGCTCTTGGCTCCCCAACCCCTTGGCCCCTTTTGCTTTTAGGAAATGGACAAGGTGAGAATGTTCCTCTCTCCCAAATTCAACCCCAGGACTTTTCCCTGCCTCCTGTTAGTCTGCTGCCCTTAGCTGCAAAGGCCAACTGGATATGTCACAGACCTACAGCAGTCAGGTGGGTTGTACGGTAATGGGCAGCAGCCAAGGTATGCTGCTGGAGCCATGCAGGACAATCTGCTGCTTAGAGCTATCTCCTTGTAATTTCAGAGAAACCACCGGCACTAGTGCTGCTTGTCCCTTATTTACAGTCACTAGGCTCACCAGAGAGGCCAAGGAATGAGCCAGCCCTAATAGCTGGGCTCCTTTCTGATGCTCCCTTCAGGGCAGGGTTAGCAAGTGGGGAATGTTGTGTCTCTGCAGCCCAGCCTGTCCCTTTTCTTTGGGCAACAACACTGCCGAAAGGCCTAGAAAATCTATGGTAGGAAACGAGGCTATGGCCGATGGCCTAGATGAGATATACAGGCACGTCCAGCTCTAATTTTGCATCTTCCTGCCTTTAATATGAAAGGAGCAGCTGAGTCCAGGGGCGGATTGTCCCGGCAGGATACCAGGCATTTCCCGGTGGGCCGGCGGCCAAAGGGCCAGCTGGCGGCTGCTGGAGGAAGAGGGGGATTTGTGACGGAGCGCCACAGCCCCGCACTTTAAATTTCCCAGCGCTGTGCACCGGCCATCTGTCAGGGAAGGGGGGCGGGGGTGGGGCAGTTGCCCCCGCTTTCCCGGGCACCGGTCTGGGGTGGGACCAGAGAGCACATGCTGCTCTTGGGTCCGGGAGCTGCCGTGGCTGAGTGGCTCTCTCCAAACTGCAGTTGAAGCAGCCAGCTGGGTGGGAGGAGCAGTGGTTTTCAAGGTATGTTCCTCTGGTGCTTGGCTGGGGGGAGGCGGGGGAGGATTTGATTGGGGGAGTGCTCCCCCCGGCACTCACCCCTCCTCCTCTGGGGCAATGCTCCCCCATTCACCTTCAAAGCTGCACAAGCTGCATTTGTGCATGCACCCCCAGCAAGCCACACAAGCTGCATTTGCACGCACACCCTCCCTGGACAAAAAAGGGGGGGGGGCAGCCAAACCATTTTTTGTTTGGGGCAGCAAAAAAACTAGAGCCGGCCCTGGATGCAGGGAAAGATGGAGGGGCATGCAGAGGTGACATCAGGGAGAGGGCCGTTCTCAACCCATTTCCCGGGCCTATTTTGATTGCTAGTCTACCCCGGCTGAGTCCTTGGGTTTCTAGTCTCCCAACACCGCTCCAGTCAGCATTCCTGTTTCACCAGTTGTGTCGGGGACTCCAGTATTTTGTTAACCTGAGATGGCAGCTGGTTTGGGTTTGACAAGGATTTGTAGCTCCTGCCTCCTCTTCCCGGATAATAAAGATTGTTTGGAAGCAATCCATGCAGTTGTGGTGGTAGCTTTTCATACAAGAGTCTCTGATCCTGTGCTGCTGAGTCCCAGATGGGCTATCCAGAGATGTCAGGTTTGTCAGAGTAGGGCACCACCGGTGCGTGGGTTTGTCTGGGCTGAACAGGGCCATGTTGTGCCTTGCTCGTATAGGGCACAAAGGGCTCCTTTGACTGTAAACGGTGTGCAAATGAGATGAGTTCAAAAGGCATGTCCAGTGTTACCATCAGCTGGAATTTAACCCCTGGACTTCGGCAGGAGAAGATCTGGGTTGAAATCCAGGCTAACTAGGAAAATGCGTGCCTGGGTGGGGGCGGGGAGGGGAGGTGTTAACCCAGTAAGGGCTGGGACCTTCATTCCCATGGTCTCACTTTGCCTAAACCACTAAGGTGCCGATCCTGCAAGGAGCCCATGGGCTAGCCAGACTGGAGTAGCAAGGAATGGGGCAGGTTGGTGTTTCATCAGCGCTAGTTGGTCAGAAGCTAGGCCCACTGCAGGGCAGGACCGAGGTGCAGCAGCAGCAGACTGCGTGAAGCCCCACACTGGAAGAGGTGAGGGTTGCAGGGCAGGAGAGAGGTTTTACAATGGTGGACCTACCTCCCATTTCCTTCCACCCAGGCCTGGTCCCCCTCCTCTGGCAGTGCACAAGAGGCTTAAGGTGAAGGGCAAGGATGGGGAGCCTCAGGCCCGGCTTGCCTGGATCCGGACCTCGACACTCAGGGCCAGAGCCTGGACTGGTGCACACAGGGGCAGATGAGGATTTTGCAGGACCCAGGGCAGCACAATTTTGTGGGCCCCCCCCCCTTTAACATGGCGCATGCACGGTGGCATCATGGCGCATGCGTGGGGCTTCTTGAAGCGTGGGGCCCGGGGCGGAACTGGAAAGGGAACGGGCAGGACAGGGTAGGGATGTTAGGGTTTGTATGATTAGACAGTTGACAACCCTAATGGAACCGGCAGCAACCAGGGCCAGATTCAGGCTCTAGAGATTCCTTTTCAACAAAACCACACAGAACAATTAATTATGCAAATTAAGCATGGTGATATTCTACTCCACGCTTCATTTGCACAAGCTTTTGCGGAAAAAGGGTGCCATATAGACATAGCCTTAGGTACCTTCTGTTGCTATGTGACTGGATTCGGCCAGTCAGTATCTTAGGTTGCATGCACACTGTAACTCAAAATAAGATAAGCAATTTGAGCTATGCAAATTGCATACCTTATTTCGATACAATTTCGAAATAGCTTGTTTCATCCTTTGGCGCTGTCTCCACAGTGCCAAATTTTGAAATAAAGCGATATTCTGAAACATCCCTTACTTCTTGTAGAATGAAGTTTACTGGGGCATCGGACTAACGAGCCCGAAATAATGGGCTTGCTGTGAAGACGCAGGATAGCTATTTCAGGGTACTCCGAAATAACGTTGCAGTGTAGACATAGCCTTACTGTCAACTCACAGTGATGTGTGCGTGAAAGTGTGCACTCCTGCACACAATCGCATCCTTTCATACCCTCCCCAGCTCTTCCATTTAAGCCCCTGACTTAACAAGGTCCTTTCAAGATGAGGCTGACCTACTCATTTGGGACAGATTAAACTCAGGCCTGTTCCCAGTAAAGATAAGAACACTGAGAACAGTTCATTACTTCCTGCAGTCAGTATAAAGAGATCTTTGGGTCACTGTGGTTAGTTATCTAAAAACATCCTCTCCATGTGCAGCAGCAGTCAAAAAGCAAACAGAATGTTGGGAATCATTAAAAAAGGGATAGAGAATAAGACAGAAAATATCTTATTGCCTCTATATAAAACCATGGTAAGCCCACATCTTGAATACTGCATACAGATGTGGTTGCCCCATCACAAAAAAAGGTATCTAGGCATTGGAAAAGGTTCAGAAAAGGGCAACAAAAATTATTAGGGGTTTGGAATGGGTCCCATCTAAAGAGAGATTTAAAAAGACTGGGACTTTTCAGCTTAGAAAAGAAGAGACGAAGGGGGGTATGATAGAAGTCTATAAAATCATGACTGGTATGGAAAAAGTGAATGAGGGAAAGTTATTTACTTGCTCCCATAACATAAGAACTAGGGGTCACCAAATGATATTAATAGATGGCAGGTTTAAAGAAAACAAAAGGAAGCTTTTCTTCATGCAGCGCACAGTCAGCCTGTGGAACTCTTTGCCAGAGGATGTGGTGAAGGCTAGGACTTCAGGGTTCAAAAAGAGCTAGATAAATTCCAGGAGGATAGGTCCATCAATGGCTATTAGTCAGAATGGGTAGGAATGATGTCCCTAGGCCAGTGATTCCCAATCTTTTTCCCATGAAGGAACCCCTAAAATAATTTTTCATATCCCGAGGAACCCCTACCTATGAAAACATTTGCTTGGCCAGAAAAAGTTGACAGCTGGAAGCGCAATTCAATTACGCAAAATTATTGTCAAGAAAATTTATTTGTAAAGAGCTGTTTAAATATATATAGGGCTCGTCGAGCGGGAGGAGGAAGCATACCAGTTATGGCTTTTATTAGTACATTTAAAACTATAAATAGTCTCATACTTCATATTTCTAACTTCACATGTAAGAATGATATATGCTTTAAAATAGGATATAGAGATCCAGCAGATTGCAACATTAAAATTAAAATAGGTCACACAAGGTATTTTGTCCAAAGCATCTCTGAGTTATACATATTTATATTCATGAGCAGGGCTCGACAAATAATGTAACCTACTCACCCATGGCGAGTAGATTACACCCTGGAAGAGCCGGAGCAGAGAAATCTGCGCATGAGCAGAACCGTGTGTGTGTGTGTGTGTGTGTGTGTGTGTGTAATATAACCTTAGCTATGAATTGACCTAAACAGAACAAAGAGGCAGTTGGCAGTGTACAAAGATTACTCCAGTATCGCCAATTGCTGGAAAAAAATTCCCGCGATATTTTGAAGGATATTTGGAATTGTTCGCGGTATTTCAAAATTTTTATTTATTTATTCCACAATTTCTCACAGAACCCCTGACGATGGTCTGTGGAACCCCAGGGTTCTGCAGAACCCTGGTTGGGAAACACTGCCCTAGGCTCTAGCAGAGGTTGGAAATGGGTGACGGGAGAGGGATTATGTGATGATTCCCTGTTCTGTTCACTCCCTCTAGAAGGGCCCCTAGCATTGGCCACTGTGGGAAAACAGGATCCTGGGCTAGATGGACCTTTGGTCTGTTGGATGTTCTTCTGTAACTGGTCACTTTGGGCAATTCAGCATCTGGCTGCTGGACAGGGAGGCACAGCCCGTGTGTTCATGTACCCATTAGTGGGCATGTACTGACGGCTCCCGAGGGCTCCCCCTCCCAGCTCTGCTGTCAGTGGGATTCATTCAGGCCCTGCTTACAGAGGGGTACTTCCCCGGGAGTTAAAATCCCTAATTCGAGGGGAAAGAGCTGAACAAGCTCAGTATCAGGTGGGGGACCCTGATATGGGGCTGAGGGGATAAGCCCCTAATGTCAGGGGGGGGTCAATATACTAATTATGGGGAGGGTTAGCCTCCTAACTCTATATAAGAAAGGAGTAAAAGGGGCTCAGGAGCAAAACTCCCAAGCCCCCATCAATCTATGGCATTTATATGGGGGGAGCAAGCTGTCCCCACTCCTTGGGTAGCCAAGGAGACAGGCAGCTAGTCAGAATGTCGTTTGCCCCTGGCAAAGATGGCCGAAAGTGTGTTCTGCCCTCATTCAAAATGGCGTCTGACAGACGCCGGAACACAAGGTCGTCTCCGGCCCCGGAAGTCGGGGTGCATGAAGCCAGCCCCCACCGGAAGTTGTCGTAGAGAGCGCCCCGGATTAAGATGGCGCCCGCCCGAAGCAGCGAAAGGCAACGCGACGCACTAAAATGGCGCCCGCTTGGGAGCCGTGACGCAAGGTGCCCGGCACTAAGATGGCGGCGGGGGGAGGCGGAGCCAATGCGCCCCTGACCAAGATGGCGGCGAGTGGTGGCGCAGGGAGGGGCGGGGCCGGGTTACCGCCCTTGTTTCCGCCCCGCACGGTAATGGCGGCAGCGGCGGCGGGAGGGGAGGGGGCGTTGAGCGAGTGCGCATGTGCACATCTCCATGGAGAGAAAAGGGGCTGAGGGAGCGAGCGGGATAAAGGGAAAAACCAGGTAACGGGGCCGCCGGGGGAGGGGCCACGCGCTGCTGGCGCGGCCCGGCGCTGAATGGCCGGGGGGGGGCCCG